AAAAACCCTGACCTGCACCGAACTAAAAATTCAAAAATATATTTACTTATACTAACGAGAAGTACACGTTAATAGTACAAAAGCATGCCAAAAAAGAAAATAAACTGTGAAGAAAAACTGAAACATACGGTCTTATTTTCACGGAATGTGCGTTTCGCTTCATTCAAGATATCTTCGCGTTCTACCGACGTCTGTTGAGCATCTTTTGCCTCCCGCAGTTTCGCCCTAAGAAGAAGAACTGTATTCAAACACTTCCGATTAAGAACGGATACTGCCACTGCACAAGCACCCCATGTCTTCGTCGAAAAAAATTGAGGTTCAGAATACGGAAAAACATACCTAGTTTTAAGATTCTTTGTACAAAGCTAGCACTCGACCTCGGCTTGCGGCCACAGCAACGGACATCAAAGTCCGCACCTAAATCCAAAACCATTTGATCACACTTCTCTGGGATTTTTAATACATTTCCATAGAGAATCAGGGTCAATTTCCGTTAGGGGGGCATCATGTAGTTTTTCCGGAAAGCTAGGATAACTCTGAGCCAGGGGGAGTGTAGAAGTCTACGGAGGGCAGTCACTTGACATGCGTGAAAAGCTGGAATGTTCGAGTTCAAACTAGTTCGCCGAGAAAGCTGCATCATGATGCCCCACCCTCTAAGTGGAGTAGACCTTGGAAACAATTCGAGCAAGGCATATTGAGCTAAGGAAACAATTCTGCATGAAAAGATCCTGTACGGCAGATTTGAACGCTTTCTTCGATGTGATCCGTCCGGTTTTTGGATGTATTGGTATCGTAGCGCTTCGATGATATTGAAAAGGTGCTAACTTAGTTGGGGGGGGGCCACGCGGCGGCGCGGCAGTCTGCTCGCCTGGCATGTTCGGAAATCCGTGGGCCAGGGGGAGTGTAGGCAGTCTAGGGGGGTGGGGGGGGGGCAGTCACTTGACATGCGTGAAAAGCTGGAATGTTCGAGTTTACACTGTCTCGCTCGAGAGAGCCCAGGTGAGCAGACTGCCGCGCCGCCGCGTGGCCCCCCCCCCCCAACTAAGTTAGCACCTTGAAAAACTTTTTCGCATATCTTTCCAGTAAAGTGAGTGAATAATAACAGCACGAGAAAATCGAAATGACAAACAATCGTCTGCTGCCTGACAGATGGTGTGATTGCAGAAATCGATTTTAGCCGTTGCCCGGCAAGAACGAACTTCTTTTGCACGCAGCTTTCCTTTCCTGGTGGAAAAAAACTGGCCGGTTTTTCCATTTTCTCGTTGACCTTTAATGTCCTCTGCCTGACCTGCAATACCCTCGTGCAGAAAGAGTTTTTAGAATAGTTTCAAGAGGGATGTAGGAGGAGCTTTTCGGAGCAGTCAAAATAAACGTTATCAAAATGAAGCTGAAAGCTTTATCCCTCCTTTATATAGTCACTCAAACATACAAATGGACGTTCACTACTTAAAACGTCCATTTGTATGTTTGCATTTATATATGTCAGCCTGTAGGTTTTCTGTCTGTCAACGAAATGAAGTGACAGGGAAAGCCGGGGAGCTCGCTAGTTTTGCTTCAATGTTTTGCCATGGCGTCATTGACAACACCCCAATGCATTCAGACTCACTGAACAAACTCTCGGCCATTCCACATGGTGTTGTTGTGGCATCTGGAGGGCAGGGGAGAAAAGGGAGAGAGGAGAGGAGAGAGAGAGGGGAACTGAGCGGTAAACAAGGAAGTTCAAAATCTTTGTTGATGCATCACTCTGCTGTGATGTTATGATTGTGATAGGACCCTCTACAATACAAGACCCCCATTTTGTGCATACGCATTGTGGTGTTCCCCTCACATGTGCCGAAAGCATGAAGCATGCCCAAAAAATGGGAGATCCGGGCATCTGTCCTGGAGAAAACTGCGATCAAAATTTCTGCGAAGAGCGACTTTTTGGGGACTCTGTCTGAGCTGATCCTGAGTTGCGACAACTTTTAATTTGTAATTCCATATTTTCAGCAGCTTAAACTAATTTTTCATTATTGATCATGGCGTCCTTTACTAGTCAGAAGGAGTACAAAACGATGCGTTCGGTGGAAGTCTACGGAGGGCAGTCACTTGACATGCGTGAAAAGCTGGAATGTTCGAGTTCACACTAGTTCGCCGAGAAGCTGCATCATGATGCCCCACCCTCTAAGTGGAATAGACCTTGGAATCAATTCGAGCACGGCATATTGAGCTAAGGAAACAATTCTGCATGAAAAGGTCCTGTACGGCAGATTTGAACGCTTTTCGATGGTGATCCCTCCGGTTTGGTGATTGGTATTTGTAGCGCTCGATGATATTTGAAAAACTTTTTCGCATATCTTTCCAGTAAAGTGAGTGAATAATAACAGCACGAGAAAATCGAAATGACAAACAATCGTCTGCTGCCTGACAGATGGTGTGATTGCAGAAATCGATTTTAGCCGTTGCCCGGCAAGAACGAACTTCTTTTGCACGCAGCTTTCCTTTCCTGGTGGAAAAAAACTGGCCGGTTTTTCCATTTTCTCGTTGACCTTTAATGTCCTCTGCCTGACCTGCAATACCCTCGTGCAGAAAGAGTTTTTAGAATAGTTTCAAGAGGGATGTAGGAGGAGCTTTTCGGAGCAGTCAAAATAAACGTTATCAAAATGAAGCTGAAAGCTTTATCCCTCCTTTATATAGTCACTCACGCAAACATACAAATGGACGTTCACTACTTAAAACGTCCATTTGTATGTTTGCATTTATATATGTCAGCCTGTAGGTTTTCTGTCTGTCAACGAAATGAAGTGACAGGGAAAGCCGGGGAGCTCGCTAGTTTTGCTTCAATGTTTTGCCATGGCGTCATTGACAACATCCCAATGCATTCAGACTCACTGAGCTCACTCTCGGCCATTCCACATGGTGTTGGTGTGGAATC